CCCAGAAAGGTTTGGGATTCCCAGGGTTGAGGGGGGTCCCTGGGGTGAGTTTTGGAGGGTCCTCCAAGATTTGGGGGAGGCAATGTCACCAAAGAGGGTTTGCAGGTCTTAGATTTGGGGGTGTCCTTAGGGAGGAGTTCAGGGATCTCTGCGGACAGCTTCCAGGGATCACAGGTTCAAGGGGTCCCCAAGGAAGATTCAACAGGTCCCCAGGGAGAGGGTAGGGGGGTCCCTAGGCTCAGGGGAGAGTGGTGTGTCCCCCCATGTCCCCCCCAGACTTACCACTGCTGTGAACTGGTGGAAGTCAGGGCGCAGGTCGCTGCCTCGCAGGTGGATGTAGGAGCCCTTATTACCCATCTGGTCGCTGTGAGGGGGGACAGGGATGCTTGGGGACATCAAAGTACGGCCCCTCATGGGGACACAGAGGCTTGGGGACCACCTGGGACAGGGACACTTGGGGACATGGAGGAACAGCTCCATACAGGGACAGCAAAGCTCAGGGACAACTGTGGAGTGGGAGCCCTGGGGACACTGAGGTACAGCTCTGTGCAGGGGCACCGAGGCTTGGGGACCTCTGGGGACACTGAGGTATGGCACAGGGGAACAGAAGCTTGGGGAGGGGGGTGGCGGAAAAAGCCTGGGGACAGGAACACCCCACAAAGAGATGCCGAGACATGGCAACACCCAGGGATGTGAACACAGGGGACACTTCAGGAGATGGAGGCACAGGGGACACGCAGGGACCCGGCTGAGGGGACGTCGAGGCTCAGGGGACACCCAGGGACCCAGCTGAGGGGACATCGAGGGTGCACACAAGCCAGGGAGCCAGCACAACAGGGCCACTCCCCCATGGTGGCAGTGGCACATCCCCTGTCCCCAGGTGCCAGTGGCACTCACCAGTAGTTGGGGGCGGAGAAGACAGTGACACATTTGCCATCGTGGGCCACCTCGTAGCCCTCGGGCTTCACTTCGTGGCTACGGATGATGTAGTCAAGGCGGTTG